TCCTGCTGTCCTGCGATGGCCCCTTACACCCTCAGTGCCACGCTCCTGGCCCACGTGTGCTCGGGAGTGTCAGTGGTTTTGGGCTTCTCAGCTAGCTTCCCAGCAGGTTCTAGCTAACACTACGATGCTCCATCTGTATCGGGAGGCATTTTCATCTCCTTCTGTCTTTTAGTCTCTCTCTGTGGCTTCCTTTCTTCCTCCAGACCAACTATTTTAGATTCCATTCAACCTGACGCAGTGGTAATGCTGCCCCCCTGACACTGGCAGAGCGTGGGATGTGAGAAAGTCTGTGCTAAGTGGCCTGAGCACTAAAAGCTGCTGGGTATTTCTAATTTTGGCATTGAGACTTTACAAGTCTACATTCTTGGCATTGCCAACCAGTTAAAATAGACAATAAACCCCAATTTCTGTCATGAGAGAAAACTGGCAACTGGGACAAGCAGATACTGAGTACTTATGGGGTGACCAGCTCAGTGTTGGGTGCTCAGGGAGATGCAAGAGTGAGAGACATGGACCCCACGCCCATGGGCTTGCAGCTTAGGGAGCTGAGGTGCTTGTCCAGGAGACAGAGGAATGAATCGGTGTTGGGCAGTACTTGAGAGGACAGCGCAGTTCAGTAGTCAGACTTCGGGGGAGGGGGGGGTTTAGAGTATTGAGGAGTAGCTCTGTGGGAAGCTGGAACTATGAGTCCTTAGCCTGGAAGGATGTAGAGAGGCTGCGCAACCAAGGGGCATGCTCTGAATGGAGGCCTATGGAGCACGGAAGTGAGTGGGTGCTCCGCACACCCGTGGCCTGTCAGGAAAGGCCGGGCTTCTCCTGCCTCTCAGGCCCCTGCTTCCCACCACAGTATTTTGCAACTGCTGACCTGGGAGCAAAGCCATCCCAGACCCAGGTCCAGGACAGTCCCAGGTGGAGCCCTGGCTCCACGTAGCTACAGTTTGGAAAACAGAGCTCAGCTGCCAATCTGTTGTCAGCTCTTAGTATTCTTGCCATCATTCGTCCTGTTCTCTTCTGCTGTCCCTTGATGCTGCAGTCCCATTGTGAAAGGCTGTCACAAGACACAGTGGAGGCAGCCAGGCTTGGGAGAACTGTCACGGTGGTTTCCAAGGTTCACTACTCCTCATTCACTAGCTGAGCAGAGAGGTCTGACATACATAAATTTCCACTTTAAATCTGTGAGATCCATGGGAGAGGAACTAGATCTTTTTCTGAGTGGCCCAAAAGCTCCTGGAAGTAGTGATTGAAAGTTAAGAAAATGAAGATTACAGCTTTCCCTGCTGAAGCATTTTGGTAACTATTAAGAGTTTTGCGAACATAGAGTGGGCTCTATGAATTCCCAGTCATCAAAGAAGTTGAACAGAGAATGGGAACCTCTTCTTAGAGCTCCAAGAGGCAGGAAGTGGATGCAGGGGGGCAGATGCTACTATCTCCTCCTGTCATGCAGTTCGGGAAGCTGATCTAATCCGGCTTTTTTTTCCTGTAATATTCATCACTCTCAGCAGCCACTTCCATTTAACATTTAAAAGTCTGTGTCTCCTTTCTGTTTTGTTCAAAAAGCATTGTTACCGTGTTCTCCAAGACTTAAGCTACCCAAAAACACAGAAGAAAACACCCACAGGAAACGGTTTTAGGGTATGCAAGTGTTTCTGTTGTTGGACTTTTGATTGTCATCACTAACTAATACTTACTGAGCATCCCAAGGAAGGACACCATATGGATGGGCCTCAGAGCAGCCATGAAAGCCAGAGTCACTTTCAGTCCCAATTTACAAATGAGGAAGCCGAGGCTCAGAGTGATTAAACTGCCTGATTGAGGTGTAATAAGTGAGGGAAACTGAATTCCAGCTCAGGCTTCAGACCCACAGTGGGCCTTATGAACCCCCTTCTAGGCTCAGTACCCGGGAGAATCCTGACGACCTGTTCTGGGTATGGTTCCCACTTCCCTCTCTTCGTTTGCAGCTTCATAGCCGTGGAGAACATCGATAGCTACTGTGTGCTTATCTCCTCCAAAGCCGTCTACTTCCTGAAGAGTGGAGACTACGTAGACCGAGAGGCCATTTTCCTAGAAGTCAAGTATGATGATCTCTACCACTGCCTTGTCTCCAAAGATCATGGGAAGGTGTACGTGCAGGTGACCAAGAAAGCAGTGAACACAAGCAGTGGGGTGTCCATCCCAGGTCCTTCTCACCAGAAACCAATGGTGAGTCCACATTGGCCATCTTCTTAGCACCCTTGGCCAGGCGTGTCCAAGGAGGAAGAGGCGGAAGCCCTCAGAATCCCCCTGCCCTGCCCCCCTCTTTTTAGCAGGCACTTGTTCTGAAGGTGCAGGCTGGGCTGTTCTAAACGCTAGGTGCTGCTGCTTCATCCTGGGCACAGAGGGAGCTGGGCTTGTGAACTGGGGAGTACTGGTCACCACTAGTGACCTAGGCATAATTGCTTAACATCTGTAACCCTAGTTAGTTGTGAAGAGCTAACCCGATACATAGTGTTTGATTCCTAAAATGTGACTTTAGTGCATTGAATCCAAGACAGCATTAAAATCACACCAGCTATTCATTGTTTCCCTATAACAATGGAAACTGTAACTTTTTAATACCTTCGCAATTAATATTCATAAATGAAAATCATACTTTGCCTCCAAAGAATATAGAGTATTATTATGGTAGAACTTTTAAATAATAAAATTCCTATTAATAACTAATATTTGTGGAGGGCTTACTAGTGCAAGCTGCGCCCTAAGGGCTTTGCATGGATTATTTGATGATGTGCTGCTGTTGTCCCCACTTTGCTGTTTAAGGGGCTGGGTGAAGGCAGGTGACTCATTAAGGCTACACAGCCAACCCTGGAAGAAGCTGCGACTCAAACTCAGGTCATCTAACCCCAGAGCTGGCTATTGAGACCAAAGAGCCTTTTGTTGCACCACCTGCTCAGGGACTGTCACATCACACAGCAGAAACAGATGTGATGAAGCCCTTTCTTTCCAGCTACACTCTGACTCCTGGCTTGTCGTGGCTCCTGTGTGTCAAGCCTGCTACCATCAGTTGGTACGCCAGGATTCTGAAGCTTGCATTCAAGAAGGATGCATCATTACAATGGCCTGCTTATCTCTTCCTATAAGCCAGAAATAGCAGCCAGCCTTATTGGGCTACTCTCCCCCGAGTCCCTGACCTGCCCTTGCTCAGGAATGCACTTGGGTTTGTTTCAGCTTGTGCAGGGGTCCCTGACCTAAGTTAATGCTGGTTGACCGAAAGAGTTAATACCCCCAAGTGTGAGTCTTCTCCAGGTTCTTCTTTAACACAGCCCAGCTACATTCCTAGGCTTTTCAAGGCAGGTGAGCAGTGGAGCATTCTTGATAACAAGGAAAATGTTTAAAAGGCAGATTCTAGGGATTTCCCCTCAGACTGTGGAATCGGAATAACTAGGAGGAGGGCCTATATTTCTTCAAAGCATACCCCTTGTCTGTTGTGCAGCCGGGTGGGGAATGGCTGCCTGGGTGAATTGCAGTTGCCCATGAGCTCTTCATTCCCGTTGGTCCCCTCACCTGGGGGTCAGGCCACTCATTCTCTTCTCCCTTTTAGGTCCATGTGAAATCAGAGGTCCTTGCTGTCAAGCTATCACAAGAAATAAACTATGCAAAGAGCCTTTACTATGAACAGCAGCTCATGTTGAGACTCAGTGAAAATCAAGAACAACTGGAGCTGGACTCCTGAAGGATCCCGGTGGCTGGAGAAAGACGCTCCCAGGCACAAGCCTAAACCCAAACCAGTCAGGAGAAGTGAGGGCCCGTACGCATGGCTTGAATGAGAGGCAAAACCAAAACCAGGTTTGGGGGTAGATATCAAGGAATGAGGGAAAGTAAATCCTCCTACGGAAATAGACAAATGGAAACCATATTAATTTGGGGGACAGGGAATTACCTTAGATTATGGGGAAGTAATTTTTAAAAGGTATTGGCTGAATAACGTTTTAAAAAAATGTACTGAGATTAATCTAATTTTTAGATCGCCCTGTATTTTGTTAACATGTATATATGTACAACTGTGTGTTTGTAAATATATAGCACATTTCTGAACAGGGCCTGTGATGTGTGTAAAGGTTTGTTATCTGTATAGTAATATAAAATTATATTGGATCTTCTATTGCACTAATTCTACACATCTAATTCAGGGTACTGTCTGTAGAAAAGCATTCTTAAAAGTTAGAGAGTGTTATGTCTTTAGTTTTGGAAACTAAAGTATTCACAGGAAGGCAGACTGAGTTGAGAGGTCAAGTGTTCAAGAATGATGCCTTTGAAACCTTGGCATGTCCAGGCTGGAGCTGTGAGCCAAAGTATTCAGACCCAGAGCTGGCCCATAGAAAGGACATAGGAGAGCTACTTGGTGACCCACCTTTTATTTCTCACCCCCATGTTGCAGGTGACAGTTTTTAAGGTATCACAAATTATTTTTAAATCTGTGTATTTGGCATTCCCCTGATTTGTCTTACCAAACTTTCCAGGAAAATTGGAATACACACACACACACACACACACACTCACACACTCACACACTCACACATCTGCAGTGTAAGTTTTTCTTGAGTTATTATTGAAGCATTTGAAACATTAGTAGGCGCTATTGATTCACAACAACAACAACAAAAATTCCATGAATTATTTGTTAGAACAAATTTTAAAAATCTCTAATAAAGATGCTCTCCTCCTTGGGCAACATCAACAGAAGAGCAGGTCCTCGGACTGTTTCTTGTTTATAAAGTCGCTTGTTGGCATTGCAGCTCCACAGCTCACAGGATTGTGAGACCAGAATGAGAAGGAAGGGAAGAAAGAGAAGAGAGTATTGGGGGCCAGCAGTTGGCATAACGGCTATGTCGGACTCCCATGTAGTCGACCGCAGTTCGAGTCCCAGACCCGGTGGCTTAAACTCACGCCAGGCACATGTGCGTGCCCAAGATCCCGAGAGGAGAATGGAGGAGAAGGGATTGTGACGTGGCCATCCCCCTGGGGGTTGATTTCTCGCTTTCTGTCTCTCTGTCTCTCTCTGTCTTTTAGGCGAGCACACACGCCCTATAGCAAAAAAAGAAAAAGAAAAAAAAAGGAAAGAGAAGAGAGTATTTCAGAAAAGGAAATGATGTGTGAGTGTTAAAAAACTGTGTTTGTAAACTTTTCATGGAACCAAAATTTGGCTACAGCTTGTCCTTGGTCTTAAATTCAGGTCTGTAGCATGGCCTGATTCATGTTCCTTCTCCCTACTGGGTCTTGGTGCCATTGTTTCCCTTTGCTATAGAGAGGAAGCAAATGGGGAAAAGGGAAAGAAAGGAAGAGAGGGAGGGAGGAAGGAAGGAACAAAGGAGCCTCTTTCTAGAATGATGACTCATCTTGTGATTTTTTAATTTTTATTTTAATAAAGCTAATCAATTTCTATAACCATGTCACATGTAGCTGAGATCTTAAATGACTCAGTGGATCAGTGGATGTGTTGAAGGTTTTGGTGTTTTTAACTCATGACCCAAATCCTTCTAAGACACAAATGAAACTAATCTCCCACCCCTCCCACCCCCATCCTTTTCTTCCTCTCCCTGTACTCACCCTTTGTTGTATGTGTGTGTTTATGTGTGTTCAGAGAGGGAGGAAGGGAGCTTTAGCACAAGTGCTTTAGCTAAATAGTGTTTTCAGAGTTCATTGGTCTTGAACTCCTGACTTTGGATAGTCTTCACTGAAACCTGGCTTTCACAGGACTGGGTGAGTTTTGGTTGGTTGGTTTGTTCCTTACTTGTGGTAGCCATGACTGGATCAGCGCCCATGCACGAGAGCACAGCAGAGCAGCCAAGCGCTAGTTCCTCCCGGTCTTCCTTACCAGCCTCTCTCCCTGCACCCCCACAGGTTGGTCTGGTGGTTTTTGTCATCAGTAACCCACTGCCTAAGATCACAATCTCTTAAGGCTAAAACTCAGATGCTTGATTTTGTGCCTCAGTGAACCTTTCTTTTTCTAGAACAAAGTCACTTGATACTTCTTTCTTGGATTGAATGGCTTGGTGTTACTGAAGAGGTCTGCTTCCTGCCCCAGCAGCACCTGTCTCAGTTCTGACTGCAGCAGTCAGTGGAGGGCTGCCCTTGGGCTGGTGCTTCAGAACTCATAAGTGTCAAGATGCCCTCCTCCTGGCTCCTTTCTAACTTTAATCGGCTCTTTAAATAGTTGCCCATCTCCCATGATTGCACAACAGCCCGCCTGACATTTGCACCTTCGAAGAGGCAGATGTCAAAATGGAACCCAAAGACCAAATGGGGTGGGGCGAGGTGGGCAATAGGAGGGCCCACTGCAAGCCTCTCAGCTCTCCACTGCCTGCAGCCCTGGGGCCAGGCATAGTGATAAGATTCCAGGGCTTTTGACCTAGCTTCCTGATTGCCAGGAAAAACTTCAAAGCTTTGGAGGAAGCAAGCCCTGCCTCTGGCTCCTTGAATAATATCCCATTTCTTTTTAAATTGATAGTTAACCAGTGACATCTGAGACTTTGTTATAATAATTTCTACCAATTTTCATGCTGCCTCAAATATACAGTTCCTCTCTAAGGAAAGTACAAGAAATAGAATGAGAGGAAATTAGATTAGGAGACGTCAAAGCCATCCCAAGTCTCTGACCTGCACCTGGGCCAACCACTGTCATCACTGACTGACACAGCTGCCCTCAGGGCCTTCCCGAAAGGCTAGCAAGGCCATGTCCCCTGGGCCTGGACACTATGCAGCGGGCACCAGACAAGCAGCCCACTCCCCATCCCTGAGTGTCTTACTGCTTGGTGGGTACTGACCTCAGTGTTCAGAAGGCTCCAGAGCCACTTGTTTTTTAACTATCATCTGTGCCTCAAAATCCCATAGTAACTGCTTGATAAAATACCTGGTTCTCCACCATGTAAACACTATTACAATCACCAGTGTGTTAAAACTTTTAATCTGGTTCTCATATCAGAGGCGTCATCTTTCTTCCTGTGGAATAAAATGCTTTGTTGACTTCCCAGACTTGTTTGTTTTCTTCCGGTTTCTTGGTGTCCATACATTGTAGAACCATTGCCAGTGATAAACACCAAACGTAGTACAATGTTCACAATCAAATGCAGCTTCTCCCCTCAGGCAGGGAAGCCCATAACCATGCCCCTACGCTGGGCAGTTCCCAACTTCCCCAGAGTATGCTGGCCACTGTCACCCACCACTCTGAGGCTGTTGGCTGAGCCAGGCAGGATAGATACCACTTTAGACTTTAGACAAGTGAAGAGGAAACAGCAAAGGACACGGAATAGGACCATCCAGAGATGGAGGAGCAACACCAGGAGCGTATGGATCCTAGAAGCAAGTCCAGAAATGTTTCACAGATTAACTGTCAAATACTGCTGATACATCAGGTGGGATGAGGCCCACCAATTAGCCCTGGATTTAATGACATGGAAGTCCTGAAGCCCTTTCGAAGCAATTTTAGTGGCATGCTGGGGTGAAGGCCAAGTTGCAGTAGATTCAAGAGGACATGGAAAGAGGGAAATTGATGATGCTCGATACCAACAGCTCTCTGGGGGAATCTGGACATAGGTCGGGGAGACTTAAATGACCAGTTCATCGAGAGGGAAGAAGTAATACAGGAGAGAAGGGCTAGCTGGCCAGGAGGGTGGTAGAAGAGGTAACTTGAGATCCTTGCTTGATTACTTCTTTTTCCTGAGGGAGGTCAGCTAAGAGTGAATATAGGGCAGGAGGTGATGGAGATTTGATTGAAGAGAGAAGAGAACATGTAAGCTAATCATCTAGGGTAATGGGAAAGTGAGCAGGCCGGGGAAGTTCTGTGTGTACCAGGCAACCTTAAGGGCCCAATTGAAGTTGATGACCATGGATTAAAAATGAGACTGGACAGCCTGGTTGTGTTTTTCTCTGGCCACATTTAGCTCTACAGGTTTAGTGTGGATTAGGGAAA